AGTAAAAGTGAATGGAGGGAATAAATTGAACAGCAAAAGCTTTTTAATCAAATTAATGCTTGGCCTGAAAATAAAGCAGTGAAATTAATACTTTCAAGTTTCAAACAGACTGTTCCAACAACACATCTGAAACTTTGCTGTCATGATTTAGCTGTTCGAGAGGCAATGAACTGATTTTAAATATAAATGATGTAGTTTATGAGTAATGAAATTAAAGATTTAAAAGGTACACCAAATATTAATGTGATATAATTGACGATGCAATGTATTTGGAAGTGTTCGTTCTCTAATAATTCTGGCATATTTGAAACGAAACAATATAATTTGCGACTAAGGAGTATCATGTATTCATATCTCATAATCTATTTCGTGTTAATTGCCATACATGTCATGTTCTACTTGTCCTTGAGAATAGAGTGGCATAATGCATGTTTTGTTTTCTTTAAAGTTTTTTTTTTGCGCAAAATATAAAACTGGCCGATCGGCTAAAACTAATTGCATCTACTAGCCAAAAAGTATATACTCCCTTTGTTCACTTTTAGTTGTTCACTTTTGACTTTGCACTCCCTTTAAAAAAATAAAAGAAGTATGTATTTTATAATTTTACCCATAATAATGATAACATTTTTAAAAATCTTGAAAAATAATTTAGGGAATGAGTAGTTAATAATAAGGGCAAAACAGAAAAATAGGATTGTCTTTCTCTTGATTTAGTATAGTGGATAAGTAAAAGTGAAAATATATTTTTAGTATAGCGGACAAGTAAAAGTGAACGAAGGGAGTATATATATAAAACTTTATGTTGGCTATTATTTTTACAAGCGGAGAAAAATATACCTTTCTCATTTTGTTTTCATAATAAACATTAATGTATCAAATTGTCATCAAAGAAGTTTTATCACATGCTTCGAAGCCTTTCCAGTCATCAATTCATTCAGAAATGATGTCACGAATAAATGGTTTCCAACCAAAATGACATTTATAACTTACCTCTAAAGTTTCAGAAGAAACACAGTTTATGACAATTGTTCCCATATTTTTGTTGAGAAGTATTTTTTGCAAAAATTTAAATTTTAACACTAATAATGTAAAATTATTTATATAATCATGTTACATATAAGAAAATTATATTTAAACAACAATGTTATTTATTTATTGATAATCTCGTAAAAATATTAAATCACCTCCTGTTACTATAATTTAAAATTTATAAATAGTGTTAAAAATCTTCTCACTGTCAGTATATATAATATGTAACTTAAATTCGAAAAAAAAAAGTTGTAAGCTTATTTTTTGCCTTTGTTTTTGAAAATTTGTGCTTGTTTCAAAACATAGAAAAACAAAAGGCCTTTTTCAAAAATATTTCATAGGATCCTTGAGGAAAACTAATCATATATCTAACTGCAAAATTGCGCAATGTCAAATATTTCAGCCGAAGAGGGATGCTTTTGGCCAAACAAACCAAAAATTCCACAGCTGTAATGATTTTCTAAAGATTCATACTGTCAAATCTTTTTTTCAACTGTCTAACTCCTAAGTCCTAATTTTACGAGTAACTTTATAACATGTAGTTGCATAATAAAGTAAAGAGTAATAAATTATCTCCAAAAGATATATAACACACTCAACAAATCATACTCCTTCCAACACACAAAAGAAAGATTAACTTAAATAGTCGGGATTTCCGTTCAATTTTACTTGTCCACTATACTAAAAATGCATTTTAAATTTTACTTGTCCACTATACTGAATCAAGAGAAAGACAATCTTTTTTTCCTGTTTTACCCTTACCATTAATTACTCATTTTCAACCTTATTTCCCAAGACTTTGAAAGGCTATCGTTATTAGGGGTTGTATGGTAAAATACATACTATATTTATTATTTCTTAAGGAACGTAAAAAATTCAAAGTGGACAAGTAAAAGTGAACGGAGGGAGTATATGTATAGTACTATGTCTATAGTCATATATGACTGTAGTATAATATATGTATAAAATTAGGAAAAGATAAATAGTGAAACCAAACTGATTATTTGTGTAAACGAGAAGAGGAGGAAGACATTAAAAAGAATTCAATATGAACAAAGAGAAAATCTTTAACTACTACAAGTGATACCAATACTCAATATGAACAAAGTGAGAATATTGACCAAACTTTTAAGCGCATTAAAACTGATAAAATCTATATCATCCCCACTTCAAAATTTCATAGCCGGACTTGAACATCTATTTCACACTGAATACCTCAATCAATTAGGGTCCATACTATAGCACATCAATCTAGAACATATCAAAATTAGTAGGCCATTCCAAAGAGAAACAAGAAAAGCCAAACCAAAAACAATAAAAAGACAACAATAAAAGAAAGAGAGAGAGAGATCAGTTCTCTGCTCCTTTAACAAGGAAAAAGTCTAAATTTATTCTTTGAGTTCATTCTTAATATTTATGTTAGAAAATGGTCTCATATTTGACATTAATGTAGCTCCATCACGAAATGAGTAAATTCCACGCGTCAAAATATTCAGAGAAAGAAGTTTAAATTTACGCATCTATTTTTAACTATGGTTTTAAAAGTATTCTTAAGTTAGAGTTTCGTTAGGGGTCATGAGCAAATACGAGACTGTTTCTTTGTCTTCGTATAACATATAAGTCACAGGTTCGAGCCGTAAAATAAGTCACCAATAGTTACATTAGGATAGACTGCCTACATCACATCCAATGAAGTTCGATCCTTCTTCGAACCCCACATAAATGCGAGATAATTCATGCAGCAGACTGGCTGCCATTATTCTTTAGGTTGCTAGGTTGTAAATTAAAATGCGACTATAATCGCTTTCTCTATTCACTTTCTCCTCTTAATGATGACAAGATCGAATTGCATGTTAAAGAGGGACTTTCGAGCTTTTGATCATGCTTAAACATCATGGTTTTTAATGTTTATTAATCCCTAGAGATTTACACAGTAATATAAGAAAGAGAACTTTACATCTATGGGCTTAATACTTCAATGATTAAGCATGCAGTTCCATTTTTCTTTTTAAAAAATTTTGGGGGTCAAATTTAAACTTTTAATTAGTTTAAGAGCAGTACTAGCTACAATATATACAACCTTTATTCCTTGAAGGACTGCACACACTTAGACGCATGTTTCTGTAATTAGTAGACCTTAGCTTTGGGATTTGAAAAGTGATTATTATATATTCTTTCACCTTTTGATTAGAGAAAGGTTAGAGAATGTTTATTAAAATATTCATCATGTCATTATCTTCATAATTATAATTCCGGTGGCATCGATTAAACATAATCGGATGTATATTTGAATGTAACATATGCACGTTCGAAATAGAAAGTTACTATAAAATTACTGAACATGTACATATACTTATATATATTGTGTCCTAAAACACTGTCACAGAATAAGTTAGTAATTGTAGGTTTGATAGCATTTAATATTCACTGATTAAAAATTTAGAATTTGGCTCCCTTGATTTTAGTTAATATCAAATGCATGATGTTAGAGTATTTTGGCTTATTTGCGCGTTCAGTAAATATTAAAGGCACTTATAAGTAAAAAAAAAAATCGAAAGTCATAAGTTATTGATCATGTCCAACTTAAAGGCTAAGCAACTCCTCGACATGTTAGGAATAATTTAGGCAACTACTACTCCCTCCGTTTTAATTTATATATTTTATTTTCATTTTTATTCGTTTAAAAAAGAATAACAAGCTCTTATAAAAATAATATTACATATTAATAAAATGAAACTAATAATTATTTTTTGGGTAGGTTTTCCCTACAGACGTGCTGTATAGGAAAGCATGTGTATTTCGTTGGAATAATTAGAGGCCTGCCCTTCTTAATTGACTGCTGAAAAGACCGTTGATAAATGATAAAATTGGCACTCTCTAATCATTTCTTACTGGAATCAAAATCATTATAATCCTTTTGAGTAATTTCCAAGCAATTCTGACCCCAATACTGTTACTATTTTTAGAGCGCATTCTCTTTAGTCGTTTACCTCTTCTAGGCTGATCATACTTTTCGAAAGAAAAAAAATGTATTAAAAGGTATAAGAATTGGAGGATTATATGGTACCTTTTAATCAAGCAAAATGAACACTGAGAATATATACAGCTACCCTTATTAGTTTGAGATTAAGATTTAATTATTATTATTTTAGTTGTTACTTTTGAATTGTGAAATGATTCTTTCCCAACAAAATAATATAAGTCGTTCTATTCTACACTATTCTTCATTTATTTTGAAGGAGACTCAAAATATATTTATTTATTGACACTTAAACTAAAAGTAAATAGAATCGTATGTGTAGAATATGATTAATCGAGCATGTGCTACATGAGCCCCTACTAGATGTTGTCAAGAAGCTGAGAACAGTCTTTCAGCTAGTCCATAATTTGTTGAATAATAGCAGCTGATTGAGTCTCTTCTAATACTTGAGAGATTTCTAGCAAAATTTCTTAAAGTCTTATAAATGAATCTATGGCTTCGTTTTCCTCTAACTCCGGGTCAAGGTTTTTATTTAGCTGAAGTAGAAGTTCGTTACCAAGTGGAACGTCAAAAATGGGGTCATTCTCTTCTAATCGAATTTCCCAGCGATTGCAACAAAAAATTCTTTGAAACGAATTACTTCGTGTATATGCATTGTAAAAATGACAGTTAATGAACCTAATCGTTTTTCTCGAATCGCTTTAGGGTCAATTCATTTGTTAGTCTATCAACTGTCATAGCAAGAGAAGAAGCTGATGAATTCATCTGGTGTTCATCTATTTTGAAATTAGGTTTGTTGTTTGCAAATATTGGTGTAACTTAATGATCGAATTGCTTAAAAACGCTATAAGTTTCTCACAATAATGATCATAGTGAAAAGTAATAAGATTGAGAAGAAAATAATGTATATTAAAAACTAATGCCAATTCCAATTTCTACTTGTCTTTTCTTAGAAGGAGAAAGAATGACCCGAGGGATAAAGCCAAGAAAGTAAAAAAGACAAATCAATAGTAACCTTAAGAATATGATACATGAACAAAGATCCCCCTACAAAATGAATCCAAAAATTAAAAATATACAGACAAAAGCAATACAATCATATCTAGTCAGTACAAAAAAGGAGAAAAGGGTAACAATAACAGTTCATTCTTTTCTTGACGTTGACTATCCTTCAGTCTGATACAGACATATGCCAGCTTTTTCATGATTACGTAGGACCAATTCAAAGTACCAACAGGTCTCAGGGGCCCCTTAAATGGGCTGAATATATTGGGCCTTCAATGTTTAAAGTTGGATTGGGCCGCCAATATATCAATTTCTTTGGGATTGTCCACCTTCGGATGGAGGGAATTGTACAAGTTACAATTTGAATGGAAGAAAATGATCCTATAAACGTTTGTTTATAATTTCCGTCTACACCTTAATATAAAGGTCTCCTGTGAAACGGATCATATAACTAAGAAACTGAACCCTCTGTGGATCTCCTGATCAAGTTTCAGTAGCTTCGATTGATGGCAACATGACGGCCTTGGTTTCCAATTACATTACCACTACCTGTTTTCTTAACATGGAGAGGTGACCGACACCCGTAATTATTATGATTATTATGATTTCCTGATCGTTGATCGTGGGCACGAGTAGCATTTCTTTCTCTCGGCTTCATCTTGATCGCGTTACATTGTTCTAAACAATCCAAAATCTCTTCCATAGAAGGTCTAGTTTTAGGATCAGGCTCAAGACATTGTACTATGATTTCTGCTATTTCATATGCAGCTTTTGATGGGTATTGTCCTTCTAACCTTGGGTCCATTATTTTCCTTAGCTTCTTTTTGTCAGGTAACATTGGTTTGGCCCATTCAACTAAATTAATCTCCCCATTCGGCCTATTCAGATCCAGTACTCTACGGCCCGTTAATATTTCTAGCAACACAACTCCAAACCCATATACGTCACTCCTCACGTACAAATGACCTGTCCAAATTAATGTTACATAAGGTATAGCCGTATAAGAAGGAAGGAATGAAGATGTAACAAAAATAGTCGACCTGCATCCAACTGCTTAAACTAAGAATAATCAGCGGATACATAATTTATATATATACTTGCTAGAAAAAATGAATAGTAAATCCGATCGACTATTTGTATAAAGATCCCATCAAGGCTTTCCCAAAAAAGAATAAAAAAGCATAAGAATCATGTTTTTTTAAAAGAAATAAAATAAGGAATTTAAGACCAAAAAATGGTTGAAACCAATATACCAACTTTGCCGGTCAATATTAATAAATCAGATATATGTTCTTGGAATTTAGTATTTGAATGCTAAGGAGTTCACACTATGTAAAGGTTGATGTTTTCACTAAGGGCCAGGTCAAACTTCTAATGGGAACATAGAAAAATTTTGGGGAAGAATTTCGGTTTTAAGAAGTCAAAGCTATTAGTTTGTTTTTATATAAATCAAAGGAATAAATTTCTTTTAATTAATAAAACTGACCCTTCGTAATTAGTTTCTTTATATTTTTTCATTTTGAGGCATTTAAGTTAACGTCAAGCTTTTCTAATTGTTTTTTTGAACCAGAATTTGGGCAAAAATTGTTGATTTGTTCATTATTGTATACTTTAAAGTTTGTAAAAATACATATATTTAAGTGTCAAAGGAATTGGAACGGAAAATATGAGGGCAAAAAATATCTGACTCGAATACTATCGTTATTAAAAAATAGTACCTGTAGCCATGTACTCCGGGGCAGCGTAACCATAAGTGCCAACGACTCTAGTGGTCACATGCGAGTCACCATTTACTGGACCCATTTTAGCTAGTCCAAAATCAGAAAGCTTGGCATTGTAATCCTGTCCCAATAATATTTTAAACAAATATTTATCAGTAATTGTAAAAAAAATGCAATTAATTAAAAGAAGTTTTTCTGTAAAAAAAAGAAAGAAAAGAAAAGAAAATTACCGCATCCAGTAAAATATTTGAAGCTTTAAAATCACGGTAAATAACTTGCTTTTCTGTTGTGTGTAAAAAAGTAAGACCTTTTGCTGCTCCTATTGCTATTTTTAGCCTTGTATCCCACGACATTGCTTCTGCACCTTCTTCTAATATACAAAAATAGTGTTATTACAGTTTGTAGTAATTCTTTTTCAACAAATAGTATATAATAATAATAATAATAATAATAATAATAATAATAATAATAATTAAGAAGAAGAAGAAATGAAGAAGGTGCTTACTTCTGAAAAGATGACTTTCTAAACTTCCTTTCTGCATGTGTTCGTATACAAGGAGGAATTCTTTTTCTTCCCAGCAATATCCGATTAATTTTACAAGATTCGGATGACTAAATTTTCCCAAAAACTTTACTTCAGCCTGCAATCCATATATTAGATATTAATTGTCTATAGACTACAAACCAACAATAGAAAAAATATACAACAATAAAAAAAATTATAATAAAACTTTACTAATAATGGTCAAATTTTTTTTGGAACCAATTTTTCTGTTACGTATAACATATGCTAGTTATGGCAGTTATAAAGTTTTAAAAACAGAGGTTGTTATAGTACTCGTTTAACAATCACTCAATATGATGATGCAATGATTTGTAATTTATTGGACTAATTCAGTATTCCAACTGTTGCACCGTTGAGCAATCGATGAAGGTTGACGTAGTGAATGCGAAACAAAAAATAAAGAAAAAAAAGACAGTTTTATTATATTAATATTTCCTAATTTTGTTTTTTTGTATGTAAGTTGTGACATTTCTTTTTCGTGACTTAAATTTGATTATTATTTGTCCAGAAATTAATTGATAGTAATGAAACCACGTGGATACTTTGAAACAGTCAGCTATATTATCTTCATCATTTTGGTCAGCTAGATTTAGACTGATCTTCTAATTCTTTCCTTTTCTCAGAGAAGCGACTGGCCAAATATTAGATATGAGAAGAAAAAACCATTTTTTTAAAATTGTGAAGAAAGTTAAAAAGTATAACAGAAGACTATCCGAGTTCATCATGTCAAGAAAAATCAATTTCAAAGCGCACATATAATAATAATAATAATAATAATTAATAAAACTAACTGAATTTTTCAAATAAAACAGACATTTGACTTTAGATGCTTTATTTTATTGGTTTTAATTTTAACATCTCTGGTGTTTGGTTCCTTTCCAGTCAACGATCAAATCCCCATTGGTCGAAAATGCCAGCACGTATTCTTAGCTACTTGCTATTTCTAAATCGGTTCCCAATACTTGTATATTAGACACGAGTAAAGTACTAAACCCTAATTGTTTCGTATTTTTATTGCACGTTATGCACATAGGTCTTTAATTATATTTCCTGATTTAAGTTACAAAATTGGAAAACGATAATATTACTTTGAAACAAGTCCGCAGTTCAAGTCCGGAACTAATAATATTTTATGCCTTAATTTGAACGATAAAAGTGGGAGAAAGTGGAAGGAATTATTGTGATTACCTGCCATTCTTTGAGACCTTGTTCGCTATCAGGATTTGACTTTTTAACAGCAACTGGAATTCCAACTCCAACTTTAGAAGGAGCAAATGTTTTATCATCAACCCATCCTTTAAATACAGTTCCAAATCCTCCTTCTCCTAACACTGTATCTGGTCTAAAATTTTTCGTTGCACTCTTCAATTCTGCTAGTGTAAACATTTTCAAGTTTGGAGTTACTATTTTCCCACTCGCCGGTAGTACTAATTCCTCTTTCCCCGATTGATCACCGCCACCTCCGCCTCCTGCTCCGCCATCTCCACTAGGCTGCGCCGCCACCGCCCTTTTGGTATTATTTGCCGGAGTAGCCGTATGTTTCTTGATCACTGTTACAATAACAAATTAATGGGTACATAGTAGAGCCTCAGGTAGCATATAAGTAACGGGTTCAACTAAACTATTATTTTTTACACGAAGTATAATAACAATTCTACAACTATTAAGTTTTGAATCGATGATTTCAAAAGTATAATCGGTAAGAAGCTAAAGATTGAATCTAAAAAATTTAAATTCTGAATCCGCGATACAGTATATACCTGGAGGAGGGCTAGAAATCTTGTTAGAGCTAGGAAGATTATCTACAGGTTTAGGCCAGCAATTTCCCATATTTTCTTCAGGTTTCTTTTGTTCTTCCCTCTAATTAATATTTATGGGAGAACAAGTTGTGCTGTTGCTACTAATTAATAAGAATATTGTTCAAGGTATAGTAGCTGGTGTAATTTTCTTGAGTTTGTGATGTGGCTAATTTCTAAGAAGGAGAGAAGAAGGAAAGAGGAAAGCTCGTTATGTCTAAAATGAAAATTGAGAGACGTCTTTTATATTCACATTGCATACAAGAAAACAAATACTATAGATACTTTATGATATTATTTTTTTAATATAATTTTTGTTTGGGGTCTTGGACAACGGTAAAGTTATCTTCGTGTGTGACATATAGGTCACGGTTTTGAGCCGTGAAATCAGTCATTGATACTTGCATCATGATAGACTGCTTACATTACATCCCTTGGAATACGGTCTTTTCTCAAATCATACGTAAACGCGAGATATTTCGTGCAAAGGATTACATTTTTACTTTTTAATTAGTTATTTTATGGGGTTATACAGTTGTCTCCTCCCCCACCCTCCCCCTCTTCTCTTGCCCAATAAGTTTCTCTAAGAAGATAAGACGATAATTAGACATGAATATGATCAATACTTCAAATTTTAATTCATATTACAACATTTGCATTTATGTTAATAGTATGACTTTTTCAAAAAGATCGCATGGACAAAAAAAAATTGCTTTACCTTGAAAAATATTATTTTTCTAGATAATATTGCGATGTTTAATTTGAGTGATAGAACGTTATATCTATGATTGGGCATAATATCTAATTATCTATATGTTGGTTACGTTGAAACGATTGTAGAGGAAAGCATATGTATATTGCTGATGTAAATCATTTCCTCAAGCATATATATANTTAGGAATTTATTTTCAGAGATATTTTGAATTTATTTACTCATGTCATGTACAAAATATTTTGACCAAATTATATGTTTTTTTTTCAACGACGCTGACTTTATGTATACTTGGTGAATTTTGAATTCAATGTCTAATGAGGATCATTGTCTTTAATTAGCATTTTGGTTTTCTTCAAATTAAATTTCCTAGGTTTTTCACGACAATTCAGATGAAATTGTCGATTCCTGAGTATCTTCTACTACTATTTTCCTCTCTTATTATATTTTTTCATGTGATTTTGATTGCCATTTATTGCTATTTGAATAGAATAAACATCCAAGTCTGCAAAGTTACTCTGAATTATATTTTTCACTTCTTTTTAGTTTTATATGGGGCTATTCAATTGTCTCCTCCTCACCCACCCCATCTTCTCTTCCCCAATAAGTTTCTTTAAGAAGGTAAGATGATTTAAACATGAGTGTCAACGCTTCAAATTTTAATTCATATTATAACATTTACATTTATTGTTAATATATTATAATATGTTGTATGAATTTTTCAAAAAGATTGCATGGACATAAAAAAAAAATGCTTTACCTAGAAGAATACTATTTTCTAGATAATGCAACATTTCGAAATTAAGGAAATAGAAACATGTTTTCGTTGCACTTGCACAGGTAGTTGAAATCGGAGTAAATTTCATGGGTGATCATTCAACTTTGTGTTTATTATCCAAAAGTTATTTTTTTTTTCTTTTGTTACATAAAAGTCATTCAACTTTATGTTCATTACCCAAAAGTCATTTTTCTTTCTTTTGTTATATAAAAATTATTTTACTATGTTCTAGTTATCACAATAATCACTTTGACCACATTTTACAAATCATTCACCTGAAAAGTCTATTATGCCCTTTAAATCATCGCATTTATGTAATGCCTTCTATATTATATGCTATATAATATACTTTTACCCAGGTATTTTACTTATAATTAAAATAACTTAATATTATTCATTTATTATTTTTATAATATATTTGTACATTTAATTTTTTCTCAATGTTAATTTTCAAGATATTAAATTTTTCAGTAATATTACCGTGAACAAATCTCAAGTCCACGTTCTTAATCAAGCTTAATAAAATATTTTTAGTGAAAATTATAAAATCAAAGCTTACTGATTTATCATCCAAGCCATACTCATTAATCCAATAAATAAAATACCCACATTTAACACAATGACACATCAGATTATACTTTCAAATAAATAATATTAACAAATAAAGCTTTAAAATCTTAATATTAAATACAAATATCTTTGATTTTTTTTTAATTTTTATTGACTATAAAAAAAATTATCATTTGTTAAACAAATCTATTTGTTATTATTTCAAATAAATATTAAAAAAAATAATTTATTGTTCTGATATTTAAAATATGTTCATGTTTAAATATGATTAAACAAAGTTATTGCCATGAAAAAATTAAATGTATGAATGTATTATAAAAATAATAAATAAAATAATTTAAAGTTATTTTAATTATAAGTAAAACACCTAGGTAAAAATATATTATATACTATATCATATAGAAGGTATTATATAAATGAGAGGATTTATAATGTCAAGGGCATAATAGTCTTTTCAGGCAAAAGTTTTGTAAAGTCTGCCAAGGTGACTTTTGTGATAAATAGAGCAAAGTAAAATGATTTTTATGTAACAAAAGAAAGAACAATGACTTTTTGGTAATGAACACAAAGTTGGATGATTTTTACGAAACAAAAACAAGAAAAATGACTTGCGTAATGAACACAAAGTTGAATGACCACCCATAAAATTTACTCTTGAAATCGCACCAAACGAAAAAAAGAAAAAGAAAAAAAAAAGAAACACACATGCAAATTGCAACGAAAACAAAAATAATAATAATAAATGAAATGCAACGAAAACAAATTATTAATTGTATATGATATAATATATGTTTTCAATAAGAAAACCTTGATTTTTATTTAACGTTGGTGTTTTAACAAAAAAAGATACAAATAAATTATAATAGGAGTTATTTTTCTTTTTTTGCTTAAATAAGGTGCCTGTATATAACTTTTCTAATTAAAAGAAGGTCAACGATACCGCGTTACCCGCGTAGAAATATAGAGAAGCAAATCTTTTGCATCGATCACATTTCAATTTTTGTAGGATAATATTACTATATTCGTTTTTTGTTGTATCATATAAAATGGAAAGAATCAGCCAGAACTTGAAATCTAGCAATGTTCCTTTGGAACTAAAAGAAATACTGGATTTAAACTCCCACTAAATCCAGAAAGCATATTCAGTTATTCCACTTGAAAATACAAGGGCTAGTTACTATATACCTCAATTTCAATTAATGGGTATGTTTACCCGAAAAATGGATAGAGTTGAATTTGTACGTAGTTCTAAAGATATGTGCGTAGATTAATTCAAATCGTAAGGATAAATAGAAATATCAAATGCGGATAACAAAGAATGCCAAATAAACAAGGTTGGAAAGAAAGATGATTTTTAGAATTAAGAAAGATGAATCAATGTATGAAACTTAAAAGAATAACTCTTTCTTATAGGAATGTATGATGTTTTTTGTTACAATGTAAACCTAGCCTCCCCTTTAGAAATGTAGTCATCCTCTTTATAGTGGAAAATCCTACTTTAGATATAATTAAAAATACATAGTGAAAACCCATGATAAATTAGTTTTTCCCTAATTCCCGCCGGAATTCCCTCCCTTAGTGTGGTTGCAACGGCTCTTGTCTGTGAGCTCGAGCTTGATCGGACTCGGTGCTGGTCGGTATTATTTTTAGAGCTCGATGCGGACTTGAGATCGATGCTGACTCGGGGTCTGGTAATGACTTCGGGCTCGGTATCGGTTGGCTTTTGCCCTTCAAGCTTGATTCCATAACATCTCAACACAGTTTGACTTGGACCCGAGCTCGATAACGACTTCGAACTCGGTGTTTGATCTGTCCCCGAAAATTGAAGCTCGTTCGTGTCTTCTTCGGATTCTATCTCGATATTATAATGACTTTCTTCGATCCATTATATTTCGACCTCGATCAATCGTCTGAAAGCCGAAATCTATTTCGACCGTATATAAATAGTCCCCTCGTTTCTCGGGAAAGATGTGGTGAGAAACGATATGATTTCTTAATGGCTCGATTGGATATGCGCTGACGTTTGCATCGAGCCCGACCATGACGTACGTGATAGCTGTCCGTCGGTTTAGCTTACCAAGGCATTTAATGCGTGTGAGACGGTGGTCGGCCACCGCTGATATTAAACCGACATTGCTTCAATCTATAAATAGCCCTTCCTTTCACCATTTATCATTTTTATGTCTTCAATCTTCCAAATTTTCTAAGTTCATTTTCGTCTCTTCTGAGTTCACTCGCAGATCTGTGATTCTTTTCTCCAAAACCACCAAATCTTTGTCACCTTCTTTGAATCCAAAAATGGTGAAGACATCAAAAACCGTCCCCCAAAAAGAAAAGGCTTCCTCTTCCCAATCTGCCGCCGACAAAACACCGGTGGATCCTCGTCTTGAGGAGTGCGTTCCGACGGCATGTGTTCTTACCTCGGATTTCAAACTCGATAAAGGTTCGTCGGTTCCCGGCTGAAGTGAGCCCGTAACGAGATATATTTGTTCGATGACCCGGGGGTATATCGACCAGATAAAAAAAATTGTAACTGGGGGAACAAAGAAGTGGTAGTACCGTCTTCCGAAGAGGATATTACTACTTACGTGAAAGGGGTTTTTAAGTGTGTACACTTACCCTTTCACATTAGGTCCCCTCAACCCTGTTATCGTAGATTTTTGTCGTAAATACCAAATAACCCTAGTCCAGATCCATCCTTATTTTTGGCGGATCGTTATTCTGATCCGATACGTCGTGAACAAAATCGAGGGGATGCATTTTACCCTCGACCATCTCATCCGATTATACCGTCCTCGCCTTTTTCGAGGAGGGTTAATAAAACTTCAGCACCGGGCTACCAAGGCCCTGTTCGCGAGCATAGATGAGGACATGGATCGAGGTTGGATGGGCAGGTTCGTTCGAGTAAGGACTTCAGACATGATTCTGACCGAAAATATGCTTTTTCCCGAGGAGTGGAACATGAAGCGTAAGTGTAATTCTACTGGTTATCTCCTATTATTTCGCCTTTTCGTTTCTTTTCTCACCGATATCCCCATTTTTATGATGCAACGATTCCCTGGATGCCCGGCGCAGTTCCCGATCTCAAGAGCTGGGTACGGGATCTGGTTTCGACCTCCATATACGTCGAGCGCTCATGGCGTGAC